TTTTTTTTTTTGCAGTTTTTTGCAGGGCTGGGTTTGAACCTTCCACCCCCAGTATATGGGGCTGGCGCCCTACTCCTTGAGTCATGGGCACTGCCCCCTTTGCCTGTCCTTTTCACTAAACCTGTGCCTCATCCTCAGTACATGATACATCAGAGAAACATCTAGAAACACTGGACTGAGAGAGAAACATTCTGAAACTCTGGTATGATTATAGGACTGAAAGAGAAATGCTCTGAAACACTGGTTTGGTTATAGATAAGGGACAGCCTCAAACTATAAATAGGCTGAAGAGAGTGCCTGGATAAATGCAGTCAAAATCAATACGAATTAGCATGTGCACTGAAGCAAACAGTGTTTGGTTTGTCAGATGAATTTCACTCAAGAAGAAAGGTTTCTGGGAGAATAATACACTGTGTCACTGAATGAGGACATAGCTGCTGTGATGGAATGAGCTGATAGGTCAATAGGCCAAGGTGTGATTTGTCATAATTCACCTTCTGTTTACACTGAGTTTCTAGATCTCTGAGTGGCCACCATAATCTCTATTAGACCCATCTTCTAGTGACATGGAGAAAGTGAGGGATCTCTCTTCTGTCATTCTACCTTTGTCTAAATTCTAGCTAATTCAAGAGCTCTGTGATCTGTCTTTGGGTGCCTATGTAAGAGAGAACACTAACTGGAAAAATAATCATTTTGTATACTTCTCTTATTTTCCTATTCTCAAGACTTGCCTATTTTCTAGGGTCATCAAGATCATAAAGTAGAGAGAACTTGGGATTTGTTGTGGGATAGACCTGGGTGAAAATCCCAACTCTGTAATTTATTGTCCTATCAGGCACATGGTTCAACTTCTCTGACCCTGTTTTCTCTACTGTAAATGCAGGATTCATAGTAGATAGATAACAGTTCGGTGCATAGTAGGCACTCAGAAAAGCAGCTTGCCTCTCAAGTAGCCAATTCTCCATTCATTCTCCAGCTTGGAGTATTGCCTTTACCACTCTGTTTTCCTTTTAAGGAAATTTGGATTTTCCAAGCTATTTTGGCCTGGATGTGGACAAAATCTTTTTCACTTTAGTTCACTAATATAAAGTTGGGATGCCATTATAGTCTCCATTCTTCCCAGCCAGAGAGAGAACCTCTTTAACAGAGAATTCCAGCTATATTCTCATGTTTTAAATGTTCCCACCTTCCTATAGAAATTCTTCTTCCTATACTTTCTCCTTAAACTTATCAGTACCTATTTTCAGGCTAAAGGCTATCTTTGTTTTGTTTTCTAACTTTTTATTTTAAAAAAATTCAAACTTACAGGGAAGTTGCCGAATAGTACAAGAAACAGTCACATGACCTTCACTTAGATTCATTAGTTGTTAACATTTCGTCATATTTTCTCCCCTTTCTCCACATTCCTTTTCACCCTTACACACACACACAGAGCTATCTCTTGTTCTCTATTTGCAGAGTACAGATGATTAACACTCCTTGAGCCCAACTTCACACTGATGGATCGAGTCTCCTTTCATGCTTAGCTTGATCCAGGTGTTCTCCATATCATAACCTATTTGGGTGCCAGCTTCACTCTCACTAGTAAGGTGGTTAACAACAGAAATATGTTCTCTACATGCAAACAGAAGGAAATTGTTCTGTCATACCCTGTGTGCTGCATTTCTGCCTCTCTGAAGTAACTGCGCTCTTCTTCAACTCTTTGGTGACTCCCCCTGGAGATCCTCAGGAACCTTTTACTCTGGTCTGAATGCTGTGACCTTAACTGGAGTCACTGCATCCTCTCCATTCCTATGTGAATTTTTTCACTGGCTGTACCTCCTCTGGTTCCTGCGTGTCCTACTATGGGCTTCTGTGGCTACTCTGTTGACATGCACTTTCCCCCCACTGAGCTCTAGTCCCAGGATGACACAGGAGCCTCTTGAGCCAATATGGAAGGCATTCTTCTGCCATGTTAAGATCAGTGTGACCTTAGAAAACGGCCTTTCTCACAGTAGCTCCCTAGCTAGTATTGTGTCAGCTCTGCTGTTTTGCTTCAGATGCTGACCTGGTCTGAACTACTGCTCTGCTCTTTGCTTCTGACAGGCTGGCTGTGCTCCAGTGACTGGCCAAACAAGTTCCTGCCCTGTCACTCCACTCAATTTCTTTGCTCACTGTTCCCGGGTGTGGGAGTATTTCATTGCTGACTGATCTTATAACATCATTTGGTATGAAGTCCAGCTTCTCTGAAGTGTTGTGGACATGTGCTTGGCTAGCAGCTATCAAGTGGGAGACAGATCATCTATAAGGCTTCAGGGATTTCACATGACTTCTCTGGGAGCTTTGCAGAGGACCTGCACTTGTCTGGCAGGGGATCCAGCGTCCATCTTTTTTTTCTGTGAAAGACACTGGCAGTATCTTATTAGAAGTACCTACAGAAAGCCAGAAAATTGTTTCCCAAAGGGTGTTTATCCTTTCATGTCTCTATGGCTGATCTATTGCAGCCATGTGGCAGCTCCAGTGGATCAGCCACATGGGACAGACATGAGGTAGGAAGTCCTTGGGTTTTTTTCTCACTTCCAGTTTGAAAAATGAAGAGGAGACAGCAATTATTGGTCTAGAGACACTGCTTCTAATCAGTTACAGGAGAGTTTGGATCTTTCTCACACTAGGAGGCCGTATTTTATGAGCTCTGGAATAAGATGGGCCTGACTTTGAACCTTGCTTCTGCCACTTCCTAGCTGTAAAATGGGTGTAATGTTACTAGCTCTGTACCAATGCTTTATAACTTCATTGTGACTCAGTTTTCTGTATTGAAAATGGAGAATATAGTAATGCCTTATAGGGTTGTTAAGTATTAAATCAGCTAATACATGTTAAGCACTTAAAACAGTGTCTGGTACATTGTGAGTATTCAATAAGTATAAGTTGTTGTTGTTATAATATTACCTGATGATTTGAGTTGTGAGGATTCAGTGAAGTAATATATTTAAAGTACTTATCGTAGCACCTAAATAGCCCCAATATAAACTTAAAAAATACATATATGTATATACTTTCACATCACTCAAAGACAGTAACTTCTTTGCTTCTAGTGTAATGAAGATGAAATAATTTTTCAGAGAAAGGGCAGAACTGGGCACAAGAGACCTCCCTTCTGTCTGGGAAGTGGATGCAGGTCTCATCTAGGGGTAGGGATGCCTACATGATGACAGAGGCTGATAAAGGTGCCCATCCTCTGCTTACTGACATGGACTTAAGTTGGTGCTGATGCCAATTCCTCCTCTTTGTAGGTTTCACAAGCTGATCTGGGGGAGCTTTGGCAATGGGCTTCTGGAAGGCTCCGGGGTTATTGCAGGCGGCGGGGACAATGGCATGCTTACTCTATACAATGTGACCCACATCCTGTCTTCGGGGAAGGAGCCTGTGATTGCCCAGAAACAGAAGCATACGGGGGCTGTCAGAGCCCTCGACTTTAATCCTTTCCAGGTACTACATTTCAGTTGGTCAAACATGGCTGAGCCATGTAGTTACAGGTCTGAGCAGGAGCATTCACTTGTGCCTCCGGTCTGTAACTCTGCACCCTTTCCAGGCTGTGACATGGGAGGCTTTTGATAGCCCCAAATGGGGGCTTCTTTCCCCCCTTTTGTGCTCTCAGCTCTTCCTGGGATGGTGTGTCTCCAAACACTCTTTATTCATATTCTTTATTCAGAGCAACCTCCTGGCCTCAGGGGCCAGTGACTCTGAAATCTTCATTTGGGATTTGAATAACCTGAGCGTGCCAATGACTCCAGGATCCAAATCACAGGTGAGCAGTCTCCTCAAGACCCGCCCTGCTGCTTAGAGTGTGCGGCTGATGATCCCAGGTGAAGCTTTGAATTCTGGAGTTCCATCCAGAGCACAAGCGATTTCAGGCTTTACCACTGGAGGGCAATAAAGCTCCACAGACTAACATGCCACCAGCCAGACCAGAGCTGGGTTGGAGAGGGGGTGGTTGGCTTATGGTGAATTCCTCCTGAGAAGAATGGGTCATTGCCTGTTCTAGGAGTCTCTGAGAGGGAGACGAAAGCTGGGGGGAGCAAAAGGCGCTGAGAGAAGGAATGGGAGTGCTGTTTATCACAGTAGAGCTTTGGCAGGGGTGGGAAGAGAGGAAGCAAGAGCAGGACTCCAGAAAAAGACAACGAACTGTGTGTAGGCTTTGTTCTCTCTGAACACAGCTCTCCCATGCAGTCAGGGTCTGGTGTGCCTTCTACCTCTGAGTGTGCCTATCTGTCAGTCTGTAACTGGGCCTGTCTTCTTGCTCTTGTGCTTATAGTATCATGAGATAAGCTAAGTATAAATTTGATGGCATCTTGTGGTTTTTCTTTCTGCTTCACTCTCTCTTGGGTGACTACAGTTCCCTTCTTCTCTTACCTTCTTCCTTCTCTCCCTCTCTGTCCTAGACAAAATCCTGACTCTAGCCTCTCAGGAGGACTCTGGGTAGGGGTAAAATTCAAGGGTACCTGCCTTCCCCTCTGCTTCCATACTTGTACCCTAAAGGATCCTCCCTGGAAAATTCAACTCCCAGTGACCTGAAACTATCTTAGTTTGGGTGGCCCCATGTCTATCTACTCTTGGGCTTGCTTTGGGTGATTGGGAGCAGAGGGAAAAAAAGATGTCACTAGGTCTAGGGGGTGACAAGTTGTCATTCTCACTCCCCAATCCTGCCTTAGCAGCCCCAAGAGGACATCAAGGCACTCGCTTGGAACCGGCAAGTCCAACACATTCTGTCTTCTGCTCACCCCAGTGGCAAGGCAGTTGTGTGGGATCTCAGGAAGAATGAGCCTATCATCAAAGTCAGTGATCACAGCAACAGGGTGAGTGATGGGGGCCAGAACACAGGCTGGGGCTCTGGCTTCTCTCAAGCCACGGTCCTGCTTTTAACAGTTAGACATGTGATTCAGCCCTTAGCAAATTTTTTATTGAGAAAGAAAATTGAGAGAAGTTAGCAGATCTGATCTGGAGGTTTCTACTGTTCCTTCTTCATGAGCATCGCTTACTCTCTAATGGCGATGGTGTTCCCCATCATATAGAAGAGGCACAAAACCTGTCCTTAGAGTGGTTCCATTCCACCTGGGCAAAAAAGGTTCATGACCAGAAGAGTCAGGTTACACCGTCCATTGGGATCTGCTTTGTTCACAGATGCATTGCTCAGGCCTGGCCTGGCACCCAGACATAGCCACCCAGTTAGTACTATGCTCAGAAGAGGATCGTCTCCCGGTGATTCAGTTGTGGGATTTGCGCTTTGCCTCCTCACCCCTGAAGGTGCTAGAGAGCCACAGCAGGTAGCATCTCCAACCCCATCCACATCCTTGGAGGGACAGTGGGACCTGGGTAGGAGGCAGTAAATGCCTTGCTTTAGCTACCAAACATCCTCCCTGGCTTTAAAGCCATTCCAGTGAATATATAGTCACCCATTACTAGTTCCAATCCTCACCAAAAACAGTTCCTTTGGACCCTAAAGTTACGGCAAACAGCCTGAGAGTCCATCTAACTTCCAGACATGGGAGTGGGATGGGGTCCTGAGAAATGTTGGAGCCAGTGTTTAGTCCTCTGGGAGGAGTCCCCAGGCTCTGATCCAAGGATAATGTTCATTTCTTTAGGTGATGCGCTTGCTTCCTTTGAGACTTCTCCTTAATAAAAACAGCTTGACTCCCCTCTGTCCTGTGAACAGGCCTGCCCCTGAAGCTGTAGCTCTTGCCCACAGCAGAGGGAATGGCTCCACAATCTATTCTTTATAACCAAAAGCCAATGTTGCCTTTATATCTCCTTGGGGACTTTTCAGGGTTAAGGTCTTCACTCCTCTCCGAGGCTAAAAGCACTCATGTTTGCATGATTCATACTGACTCATCATCCCTACTTTCTAATGAGTGAGAAGAAGCAGGCTGTCCTGCAGAGACCTGTGGGAGGCAGAGCAGTGCAGTGCATAGTGCATAGGCTCTGGGGTATGACTTGGGTTCTGGCTGTGCAGCTGTCTGAAAGTTACTTAATTTTTTAAAGCCTCATTTTCCTCATTTATAAAATGAAATCAGACCACTCATTTTATAAGGCTGAGATTTACCTGAGCCATGTAAGGCACCCTGTTCCTAGTAGTTATTTGACAAATGTTAGTTCCTCTTTCTTTCCCTTTTTAGGGGGATATTGTCAGTGTCTTGGAGCCAGGCTGATGCTGAACTGCTACTTAGTAGTGCCAGGGACAACCAGGTCTTGTGCTGGAACCTGGGGAACAGTGAGGTAGGCTGACACTTCTATGGGTGTGCTGGGATAGGAGCTGATAAGGCAGGAGAATCCCAGCTGCAGCCACGAGTTTGGGGGTTTTTTTTTACTTTATAGTCCCTGATGATTGTGTTCCCTCATATTAGGTGGTATATAAACTACCTACACAGAGCAGCTGGTGCTTTGATGTGCAGTGGTGCCCTCGGGACCCTCCAGTGTTCTCTGCTGCTTCCTTCGATGGTTGGATCAGTTTGTACTCTGTGATGGGTAGGAACTGGGAAGTCCAGCACATGAGACAGGCTGACAAGGTTTGAAGGGCCTGGTGGAGAATGATAGAGGGAAGGGGCTGTCTCTATTTGTGGGAAGAGAGGAGGACATATGGCCAGAGAAGACATGGGGACTATTAGAGATTAGGAGACTAGGGACTGGGTTGAGAGGGCTGAATCTTCGCTCCAGTGCTCATCTTCCTGGGGGAGGAGGTTAGTTTCTGCCACAGGACAATGGAGACCTTCACTTGATTTTTATTACTGGTTATTCCCTGTAGCATTTCAGGAACAGTGGACCTCTATGATGGGACCATTATTTCCGGAGTATGAATCATCTTTTCTCTCTCTCTCTCTCATAGATCCATGTTGTGCCACATTCCATTGTAGACTTTGAATGTAGTAGGCTTTATCAGAACCTACTGTTTGGGAGTCCCATACCTATCCCCTGGAATTTGGGAGTCTGGCCTTTCTAGGCCAAATTGGGTATCTCAAGGATTCCTCCTAAAATGGAGTTTGTAGGTAGAGTTCTTAGCTAAGTTGCCACATTGGGCTGATAATGCAGATGTCTTTTTTTTTTCCCCTAGATCTTCTCTTCCTTCAGCCAAGGCCAGCCTCTCCCACCATTGCAGGTGCCAAAGCAGGTGGCCCAAGCATCATTGATACCTCCCCTGAAAAAACCCCCTAAATGGATTAGAAGGCCTGTAGGCGTTTCATTTGCTGTAAGTGTAATGAGTGTATAGGTGTCGTTGTGTGTGTATATGTGTTTGTGAAGACTGCTATGTGCCCAGCATGAAGCTAAGTTCTCTAGGAGATTTATTCCCACTATGTGTGTCTCAGATCAAATTCCTCTTTCCCTCTCCAGCTGAGATTTATAGTTCTCCTCTCACCCTTTCACCCATTCTACACCATGTTTGCAGTGCCAGTCCTGAAAAGGAATTGATTGTCTTAGACCTCTTGGTTATGAAGAACAGCCTACTTGAGATTCTACTTGAGTCTTCTCTAACTCTTACATGTCTGGACTAGTAGTAGGGAATACAAAGAAGGGAAGAAAACATAGATTTCATCCGGTCATTCCTCTGCCCAAAACCTTTGAATCTCTATTACCTTGTAGACCAGTGGTTCTCAGCCTTCCTAATGCCTCCTAATACTGCGACCCCTTAATATAATTCCTCATGTTGTAGTGACCCCCAACCATAAAATTACTTTTGTTGCTACTTCATAACTGTAATTTTGCTACTATTATGAATCGTAATGTAAAATCTGATATGCAAAAAGTATTTTCATTGTTACAAAGGGGTTGCAACCCATAGGTTGAGAACTGCTGCTGTAGACTCAGGCTAAATGTATACAAGGTACCACTTACCTTTCCAGTTTTCACTCCCATCTTATTCCCAAATGTTCCCTATGCTCCAGTCACATGTGACTCCTCCTGTGAGTAATTCCTCAACTTTCTTGCCCCTGCTTGTGCCCCGCCCTTCAGTTTTTTTCCTGGGCCCATTGAATCCTACTGAAGTCTTTCAAGGCCTCCCACTTAAATGCCACTGCCTCCATGATGTCTATCTTTAACCCTAGTCAAAATTAACCTCCTTCTGTAATCCTACAGATTTATACTCACGTAATGATACATTCTAACTGCACTAAAGTTATTTATTAAAATGTCTGGAGACCTTACTAAGTAATAGATTCCTTAAGGATAGGGAACATGTCTTATTCATTTTTATATCCCCAAAGCAGTGTGTCTCAACTCTACTGTGCATGCAGATCACTTGGGGATCTTATTAAAATTCAGATTCTGGTTCTTTCAGTCCGGGTGGGATCCAAGATTCTGATTTTCCAACAAGCTCCTGGGTGATCCCCTTGTTCCTGACCAGCACTTTGAATAGCAGGACCCTGAAGTACCTAGCACAATGCTGTAAAGCGGTGGTTCTCAACCTTCCTAATGCCATGGCCCTTTAATACAGTTCCCGTGGGTTGAGACCCAGAGGTTGAGAACCACTGCTGGAAAGTAAGTGTAAATATTAGATTTGAATTGAAAAGAGATTTAAAGTGTAGCAGTTCTTATTATCAAAGCCAGCAGTTATATTAGGGCAGTAAGACTAAACACACCTGGAAACGTCGGCTTAAGCAAAAAAAATTTAAAAGGTAGGGAGGTGAAGAATTCTGAGGTTGAGAGTCTTGAATTCTTATCATAGCTCTGTCCTTTGTTAGTTGGTAACTTTGAGCAAGTCATTTAACCTTGTAGGATTCAATGTTCTTAACTATAAAACAGCAATAGTTATACCTGTCCAGCTTAAGTTAGTGAATTAACATGAACTTCAAATAAGAATGTGTATAAACACTTTGTAAAACTGTCAAATACTATACAACTCAAAAGTTAAAATAGTTTTGTTTAGCACTAAGCTGTGGTATTGATTTTGTGCTGTAGGAGTTAAGAAAATGAATTGTAACTGGGGAAGTTCATTAAGGAGGTAGATATTAGGAAAAGAAATAGTCAATAGTTAGGGATGTAAAGCAGTAGTTGTCAACCTTGGCTACACATGGGAATGACTTGAAGAATTTCTAAAAACACCGATGCCTCATCCCACCCCCAGAGCTTCTGATTTTTTTGTTTGTAGTGTGACCTGGTGACGCTAGATACCTCTCCAGGTGGTTTAATATGCAGCCAAGGTTGCAAACTGCTAGCATAAGAGGAGCTGTTCCAAGCCCCTATTCTGTGCCAGGTGCTTTGTATAAAGCATCTAATTCGGTGAGTAGGATGATCCAGGTTGAGGTAGTATTCTGGGCAAAGGTACAGAAGCAGGAACACACCAGGCATTCTGTAGAACAATCACACAGATGAGCAGGAAGAGACAGATGCTGGGAAAGATAGATTTGGCCTTGATTTTGTGGGGTCTTGTGCACTGCAGGCAAAGGAGCTTAAGTTTTGTGTCACCATTATGAGCTCCTTAGTAGCAACAGGGTGGTACAGCAATAGAATGGTGTCTAAGGCTTGGATTAGAGGGGAAAAAACAGAAGGCTAGTGAACTATTCCAGTAATCTGTGTGTACTAGCATTGGGAATGTGATGGAAGAGACCTGCCTGAGAGACAGTGAACAAGAAGAGATTTTGGGGTGGTGCCTGTGGCTCAGTGAGTAGGGCGCCAGCCCCATATACCGAGGGTGGCGGATTCAAACCTGGCCCCTGCTAAACTGCAACAAAAATAATAGCCAGGCATTGTGGCGGGTGCCTATAGTCCCAGCTACTTGGGAGGCTGAGGCAGGAGAATCACCTAAGCCCAGGAGTTGGAGGTTGCTGTGAGCTGTGACCCTACAGCACTCTACCGAAGTGAGTGAGACTACTGATAAAGTGAGACTCTGTCTCTAAAAAAAAGAAGAAGAGATTTTGTTGCCTGGAATGGGCACAAAGACTTTGAAAATGCTGAGGTGTTTAGTCCAGGTAACTGAGAGAATGGTGGTACCAGGATAGGTGAGCAGAAGGCAAGTACAATGTGGGGAAGTTTTAAGGTGATGGTGCAGAAGTGGTCTTAATATGAGAGCACATTTGATATTCGATTCCTGATCCTATTCTACCCCCCAAAACTCTCTTACTGATTTCCTACTCTAGGGATGACCAGGAGATACCCTCCCCTGTGATCCTGACTTGGTATTTCCCCTTCTTGCTTTTCCTCACCAGTTTGGAGGGAAGCTGGTTACCTTTGGCCTCCCCAGCTCTCCTCCCCATGATATGCCACAGCCTTACCCCCGCCTAGTCTTCATCAGTCAAGTCACTACAGAATCTGAATTCCTGATGCGGTCAGCTGAGCTGCAAGAGGCCCTGGGATCTGGAAGTCTCCTGAATTATTGTCAAAGCAAGAGCCAGCAAGCTTCACTGCAAAGTGAAAAGATGCTGTGGCAGTTCCTAAAGGTAGGGAGCCTAAAGGCTGGCTGCTCAGAGCCTGTGTTACCCCAAAGCCTGAACTACAGTCTTGTCAGCTCCAAGAGAAGCACAGCCACAGTGTGACCCAGATTATAGGGGTTCGAGGTGAAGGCTGCCAAAGGGCAGGTAAGGTGATGGGAAGAAAGGAAAGAAAGAGAAGCAAAAGAGAGGAGATTAGTTGAAGGACACATTGTCTTAAGAAGGCTTTGAGTTTAACCCAAGGCAAATCTTGTGGTGGCTCACTGTACTCCAGAGGCATGAATTCTGTTCTAGTTCTAATTTAATTTCAAATTGCATGTGACATTAGAAGGAGTGCTATACCTGTCATAGGAAATGAACAAGTGAGAGATCTGAAGGAAGAGAGGGAAGGAGCTAACTGGTTGGGCATTAGGAGGATTATGCAAATCCCTGGGAATCTAGAGAAGAATGCAGAAAGAAGGACAGGCCTTGTCTCAGGAGTGAGAGGGACTTGGAGTCTAAGCTTTAGGCATAGAAGAGATTTATGAAGGCAGACATCAGGAAGCTGGGAAAGAGAAAAAGGATTTGAGAAAGATCATTGCGTATAGAATGAAATTAAGAAAGATGTGGAAGGCTCGGCGCCTGTGGCTCAAG